TATTATCAAAATCCACAGCAAATTCAAATAGTCCGAACACAGCACTGATTTTTTTTAAGTCCTCAGTCTGTTCTGTTAAATTCCTCTCGCTCACGAGCTGATGATTCAATGTCTGTTGCTCCTAGAGGGCTTTTCCAGTTCTTCAATCTATGTCACCACGCTGATAATTCGTCGCCTGTTTTTCCTTCCCACAAGCTTATGCCTCCTGCTCCCAAGACGAGCTTTTATTTTCAAAGTCTCACTCAAACGAGTAAGAAGAATCCAAACTGCACAGCATTAACAAGATTTCAATTCCTTAAAGATTGTTGAGTAATATTTCCACTGGCATTTTTTTCCAGAAACACAAACTTTTTCTATCTCGCTATCTTATCTCATTGACCTTGAGCCAGTCTGCTAGTTGTAAACTTGTTGTTTAAAAGTTCGCTTTGAGGAAAAAAAAACACAGGCTGGCGTGCCAGCTCGCCACTTCCTCTCTCCTTTCGGTCAGGTATTTTCACTTTAGTTTCCTTAACATCTTAATGAGGTTATTCATAAATCAAAGACTTACTTTGTTATTGTATATTTTCAGCCGTATTTTTGTTCTCCTTCGGGGATTGGGGGTGGAGTTTTCCCACAGCTTTCTGACATAAGATGGCCTCCCGTCTCCGGTCTGTGCTTGGGTGAATTTTCAGAGGGAAGAAAGACCCGGTTGCTGCCAAGTCTTCTATCTTCTGGGCTCACATCTGCTTGGGGGTGACCTCTCCTGGCCTCCTCTTCTGTCCCCCCCCCATTTCTAGAGGGACGACGGGCCGGGCGGTTCCAGTTTTTCCCCAGAGCTGTTAGCCGGGAGCTGCTGGCTTCACTGCAGTCAAGCTCCACCCCCAAAATAGGAAAGGGTCTTGAAGGAGCAGGTTATGAACATGCTCTGCCTATGCGATTAAAGCTCTGGTATAGATGGGTAAGCTGCTTGCATGAACTAATTTTTTTTTTTATGCAGAAGCCTCTGTTTTCCTGCTGTATAACTTTATATACTGACCTCATGAGTTGCAATTTAGGAAGTTAAAGATGGGCCTTGTATTGTGGACCTGCTCAGTATCTCACTGGCCCTCTGGTCATTCCCCCTCCCAATTCCTAGTAGACTACAAAAACAAGAGATCAAGCCCTTCTTCTGCTGCTCCACATGGCTAGGTGTGCTGCATTCAGCTGGAGGAAGGCTCTTGATATGTAACAGGGTTGGTGTAAATCAAGGGTGGACACCACATGGCTCTTGGACCGCCTGTGACCCTCAAACAAACAATTATAGATTTTGACACCCTTGTAGCATCCTAGGACTTCACAGACTCACAGCACCACAAATTACTTTTAAATTTTTGGTTTTAAACATTTGGCTCAAGAAGTCTTCTTGTGCCTTTAGGAGTCCTGGAGGCAATTCTGCTATGTTTTAAGGTCACCCTCCAAAAAAAAAAAGGTTTCCAAAAACCCTCTGGATTATGAATGTGGGATATTCTGCTTCTGTAGCCATGATTAAAAGGACCAGAAAATTATTTGATATTGCTGCTCAGTATCATGCCCACATTGTCTGCAAGGTACAATGCTCTACAAGACAACCTCTTGTGCTCACTACCATTCAGAGACACACCAAGCCAGGGAAAATCCCAGAAGCTGTCTCTTTCTTTCACCAGTGAACCACATTTCAACCAGACACCAACCAATTGTAATGGTTGTTTTTTGACAAGTACAACTTGATGGCACATAACATCTCTGGAGTTCTTTTTTTAAAACTATGAAATATATAGTGACAAGACGAGTGGAATGATTGAGATTATCACAGGAAATAGGCACCAAAGCTCTGCCAACATGAAGTAAGACCATTCTGAGACACAAAGCAAATATTGATCCTTTTTTGAGGATCAATATTTCTGCCCCTGCAGCCTGGATCCTTTCTATATATAAGGGGGTGGGTGAGATTAACCATCCTTTCTCAAGATAAGTAAGAGAATTTGCTGTTCTGTGTATTTGAAATCTGGAGATGTTTATGGTCACTTCTTTCTGCATGAGGGGGAACAATTCTAATTTCAAAAATCATAACCCAAAACGCCTTGGCCCAAACTTCCCTAAATTTGGCACAAAGCAGAAGATAGCTGTCTACTACATTTGTGCCAAACTTAGTGCTGATCAGAAGTCCAGTTTCAAAGTTATAACTTTTTTGGGGCTGCCCCCATTTTTAGAATTGCTTTATAGAACATTGATTTATTCTGCTGCACAATAGCATAGGTGCACTATCATGATACACTATATATACAATTGCCGTTAAAGGGCACAAGGCCTCATTTTGTAAGACAAATTGGGGGATTCATGGAAATAGGTGGAGCCTTACAAGGCCCAAGAATGTATGTGCAGTTCCAGAGCTTTGGCGCTCACCCACTCCTGAGTGCATATGGTCATCACTTTGTAGTGGGGGGCAATAGGTGCTGTCACATGCCATATATTAGCAAGTCTGAAGTTTTTCCATATAGTATGTAAACTGGAGAGTCACTTTGAATTTTGTAACATCACTTCCCAAACCAAAGTATAAACCTCAGCTGAATTGAGTACAATGGGAGTTTACTGTCAGTCATATTGCACAGAGCACTGAAAGCCAGACTCTTCTGTAAATATGTATTTGCGAAAGCTTTCATGGCCTGGATCTAATGGTTGTTGTGGGTTTTTCGGGCTCTTTGGCCATGTTCTAAAGGTTGTTCTTCCTGACATTTCGCCAGTCTCTGTGGCCGGCATCTTCAGAGGACTGGAGTAGGAATGCTGTCCATGCTCTGTTGGTGTTTGTTGGATAGTATTTATAGCTGTGGGAACGGCTTTTTTTCTCTTTTTTTCAGGAGACAGGGTGATCAGCATGTTTTTGTTGTGATGAGGGAGGGGGGGAAGGGAGAGATCATTGCACAAAAAAGACCAGCTAACGACACCCATCAATCACAGTGACAGATAATCTCTCCCTCTTACATAGAGAATAACATTTCCAAACAAACCACTCTACTCATAGCATCATGGAAGATATCTTTGCAACGGAATTGCTTTTGATGGTATAAGAAAAATGTTAAGATGGGGCTCCATGCACACCTTTTCCCTCCTCCTTTACAACATAGTTGGGAAGAACACATAATAATCTTACCAAAGAATCTGTTATGTAGCTGCACAGAAATATATCCACAATTGTATCAATCACATTGGCAATGGGCTTACATGTTGCTACTTCCATAGTTATCTATGACAAATGAGAAACAAATTGAAATATTGAAAATTTGTTATTGAAATCTTATTAAAAAGCCTTAATACTCAATTGTAAAGACATAAATATTATCTTTTATATTGTCAAACCTAAATAAATCACATTTCAGAATGGATTTAATGTTACATTCCAACATTTCTAAGTTACTACATAAAGCTTCAAATACAATATTGGTATAATAATAATATTAATCTCTTTTTTTCTTATCTAAGTAAAATTATGAGCAAATAAATGATCATCACCATCAGAGGGAGGTTGCTACTAATTAAAATCAATCTAATTGTGGGCAAGTTGGTCAACCCCAAGGATCAAAGCAGGAACTCTTTGATTACTGGCAATCTCCTCCTGCGACTAGCATCACTCTTATGCAGGTGCAATTTACTCAACAAGACTTGGCCATTATTTCAGTTCAGTACATTTCTGAAAAACTACCCAGCTTACCGATTCCTTCACCCATTCAGCATATTGCTCAAAGTATCCTATTATGGTATCCATGTACTTTTTTGTTTCCTGGGAGGAGGGAAAAAACACCTAATGTAACATTAAGTATAAGTACTTTTCAGTAAAAGAGTTTGCTTTTTAAAATTATTCATTTATATGATTTGTATACTGCTTATCTGGCTACCAAGGCCTCTCTGGGCAATTTACACAAAAAATAAGAACAATGATCAAGAACATTAAATTAAAATAAAATAAAATACATATCAAAATAATGTAAAAGAATAAACATGTACTAAACATTATAAATTAGAAACATTATAAACTTAGAAATACAAAACAAAAATAGTAGCAGTAACATTTTTAAAAATCAGTCAAGAAGGTGGAATCATTAACTTAGGAGTTGGTAAGTATTCTGTGTTCTGTTAATGGAATATTCTGGAAGGCCTGTCTGAATAACCAAATTTTCAATGATCTCTTAAAGTAGCCAGTGAAAGGGCAAATATGAGATGGCAGCTGATTCTAAAGGAGTGGTGCAACCACTGATAAGGCCCAATTACTGGTCTTTTCATTCTGGGCCTCTCTTGGGGTCAATGTCCTCAACTGCCCTGCCCTCAAGGGACAGGTCAGAATCCACTGCAAAAGGGTGGGAGGATAGACAGAGCTGGGTGTCATCAGTGTACTGTATGACACAAGACTCTAAATCTCCTGATGACCTCCCCCAGAAGCCTCATGTAGGTGTTAAACAGCAACAGAGAGATGATTGACCCCTGAGGAACTCCACGATTGAGAGTCCAAGGGGTGGACACCATCTCCCCAAGTTGTGCTCTCGGGGCTGGTCCTCAAAGAAAAACTGGAGCCAGGACAAAGCCAGACCACCAGTCCCCAACACTGAGAGGATACCATGATTCACAGTATCAAGGTTCATTGAGAGATTGAGGATGACCAACATAGACATTTTGCCCCATTGGCCTCTCTCAGAAGGTCATCTTGCAGGGCATCCAATGCCATCTCCATGTTGTGACAGCCTGAACCCAGAGTGGAGTGGATTGAGGGCCTGTAGTTGATCAACTACTGCTCTCTCCACTAGCTTGCTTGAAAATGGGATATTGGCAATAGGTCTGTAGCTGTTATAATCATCTGCTGCCACATTAGTTTTTTGTGAATGGGCCTAATGTTCGTTTCCTTGAGGGGAATCTGCTCTCAAAGAAAGACACATTTATGATGCAGGTGGCCAATTCTATCATTATTGGCCTGGCAGCTTTTAAGAGCCAGGCCAGGCAAGGAGGTTGCAGTGGCCCTACAGTGGTCAAGTACCTTGTCATCCTCAGATAATGTCACTGGCTGAAATTGAGTTAGAGGCATTGGACAAACTGGCACAGTGTATGTCTTGGGTCAATCTACTCATACAAGATGGTGGTCTAGGTCCTGGTGGATGGCCTCCACTTTGTGGAAAATGCTGCAAATTGGTCACAGGTTATGCTATTGGAAGGACAATCACTTTGGCTAATTCCAGACCAATTGCACAATATGTGAAATAATACAGCCTGGTGACTTTGGGCTTCACTTATCCAGTTAGTGTAGTGTGATTTTCTCATGGATTTCACCTTGCTAAGTAGATGTTAGACATATTTTTGCAGCTTTTAAGTTAAATTCCATATCCATATGTTCTCCAGCTTTCTCTTATTTTGCTTCATTGCCTAAACTTGTTGAGTATACCAAGGGGCAGGATGGGCTCAGCAGTGGAGAGGGCATTTGGGTGCAATCATGTCAACTGCCCAGGTTGCAGCGGCACACCATCCAGCGACCTGGGCTTCAACCAGTTCAGCTGGTATCCTATGCATTTCATCTTGGCAGCATATTGGATCCAACAGCCTGCATGGTCGAACCATCTTAATGGGTCCCATCTTCCCGGAGCAGGGTAGTGCCACTGAGAGGCTGAATTTGATCAGGTGGTGATCCAACCATGACAAAAGGATAAACTCAAGGTTGGTCACTCTTGGGTCACTATCTCCCTGCCCAACTGAAAAGACCAGGTCTAGCTTATGACCCACCACATGGGTGGGACAGTAGACAAACTGAGAAATGTCCAAGGAAGCCATGGTTTCCAAGAACTCAGGAGCTGGTCCACTGTCCTCAGCCTCCACATGGATGCTGAAGTCACACAGAAGAAGTCGTCTGGGTGACCTCCACAGTGCCACCAAGATTAAGCTTGCAAGCTCTGGAAAGGCTGGGTCATGGGAGCACAGTAAACCAGCGTAATCCCAATTCTATCCCTGGTCCCCAACAACATGTGGAGGGCCTCCAGACACAGGATATTCAGGGCAAAGAGCATGACAGCCTCCCAAGTGTTTTTATATACAATGGCAAATTCCCCCCACCCGTCCATCCAGTCTATCCTGATGTAAGATGGAGCAACCAAGTGGACAGATTAATGAGAGCCACACCACCCAACACAACCACCCAGGTTTCAGTAATGCATGCCAAATCTGCATCTTCAGCCAAGATTAAATCCTGGGCTTTATTTAGGGCAGATTTGGCATTTAGCAACATCAAGGACTGACAGGAGAGTGAGCTGAGCAGGTTACCTCAAACTGGGCAGCTAGCAGAAGAGGTAGAACTGGGAACAGCCTTCAGATATCTGCTCCCTGTTCTTCTGGACTTGAAAGATAATTTACCAACATCGTAACATCCTCTGCCCATCGCTACTGGTATGTTACTCATATCCACTCACTGGATAACAGGCCTTAAGTAAACTCCTTAAGTATATAGTGCAATAAAAAGTTCAGTAACACCATGATGCAAACAGTTAAGAAACAGTTAAATTGCAGTGCGGCAGGGTGTTAGGATTACTAAAAATAAAAATAAACAAAAAAAGTGTTGTACTATCATGTGAAAAAAAGTACACCTTCATAGAATGTAACAATTTTATGTATCAGGACATAATAAAAAATAATCTGGTCCTTAGCAGATCTGAAAATTAGGTAAACACAACTTCAGATGAACAATAACATGACACATTACACCATGTCATGATTTGTTTTACAAAAATAAAGCCAAAATGGAGAAGCCATGTGTGAAAAACTAAGTACATCTTATGATTCAATAGCTTGTAGAACTACCTTTAACAGCAATAACAAAGTTATAGTTTTCTGTATGACTTTATCAATCTCTCACATCATTGTGGAGGGATATTGACCCACTCTTTACAATGTTGCTTCAGTTTATTGAAGTTTGCAGTCATTTCTTTATACACAGCTCTCGTAAGGTCCCACCACAGCATTCCAATCAGGTTAAGACCAGGATTGGGCTGTTGCAATGCCTTGATTCTTTTCTTTTTCAGCCATTCTGTTGTGGATTTGCTTGTGTGTTTGGGATCACTGTCTTGTTGCATGACCCAATTTCGGCCAAGTTTAGTATACAGAGGGGTGAATGCACTCAATGACTGCCAGGTGTCCAGGTCCTGTGGCTACAAAACAAGCCCAAATCATCACCCCTCGACCACCATGCTTGACAGTTGGTATGAATTATTTGTGCTGAAATGCTGTGTTTGGTTTTTGTCACACATGGCGCTGTGCATGATGGCCAAATATCTCCATTTTGATTTTGTCAGTCCAAAGGATATCGTTTGAGAATTCTTATGGTTTGTCCACATAAAACATTGCAAACCAAAGCTATACTGCCATGCTCATTTTAGAGAGAAGAGGCTTTGTCCTGACAACCATGCCAAACAAACCCTACTTCTTCAGTCTTTTCTAATTGTACTGTCATTAACTTTAGCATTTAACATGCTAACTGAGGCTTGTAAGAATCTGAGATGTAGTTCTTGGGGTTTGGGCAATTTCTCTGAGCATTGCATGGTCGATCAGGCATTGAATTTGCTTGGATGCCCACTCCTGGGAAGACTGGCAATAATTTTGAATGTTTTCCACTTGTGAAGGATCTTCCTCACTGTAGATTGATGGACTTTAAAATGGTCTGGAAATGGACTTATAACTCTTCACAGAGTGATGGATAGCAACAACTGGTTCTCTACTATCATTGTTGATGTATTTCCTCCATGGCATTGTGTTAACACACACCTAAATGCTCCAGGCCAGCAAACTGCTAAAACTTCAGCTTTTGTACAGATGATCACACTTGGTGATGACCAAGGGCATTTGGTTAGCAGCACCTATTACTTAGCCTCTTAATTCATATGAGTTGTTGTTCATCTGAGGTATTTATCTAATTTTCAGACCTGCTAAAGACCAGATGATTTTTACTATGTCCTGCTACGTAAAACCATAGAATTCAAAGAGTATGTACTTTCTTTTTTCTCATGACTGTATATCCAATTACATTTGTTGTTTGTTGTTTAGTTGTTAAGTCGTGTCCAACTCTTCGTGACCCCATGGACCAGAACATGCCAGGCCCTCCTGTCTTCCACTGCCTCCCAGAATTGAGTCATATTAATGTTGGTAGCTTCGATGACACTGTCCAACCATCTTGTCCTCTGTCGTCCCCTTCTCCTCTTGCCTTCACACTTTCCCAACATCAGAGTCTTTTCCAGGGAGTCTTCTCTTCTCATGGGATGGCCAAAGTATTGGAGCCTCAGCTTCAGGATCTGTCCTTCCAGTGAGCACTCAGGGTTGATTTCCTTTAGAACAGATAGGTGTGTTCTCCTTTCAGTCCAGGGTACTCTCAAGAGTCTCCTCCAGCACCACAATTCAAAAGTATCCATTTTTCGGCAGTCAGCTTTCTTTATGGTCCAGCTCTCACTTCCATACATTGCTACTGGAAAAACCATAGCTTTGACTATTCGGACCTTTGTCCACAAGGTGATGTCTCTGCTTTTGAAGATGCTGTCTAGGTTTGTCATCACTTTCCTCCCAAGAAGCAGCCATCTTTTAATTTCATGGCTGCTGTCACCATCTGCAGTGATCATGGAGCCCAAGAAAGTCAAATATGTCACTGCGTCCATATCTTCCCGTTCTATTTGCCAGGAGGTGATGAAACCTGTGCCAATGATCTTGTTTTTTTATGTTGAGCTTCAGACCATTTTTGCCGCTCTCCTCTTTCATTAAGAGGTACTTTAATTCCTCCTCACTTTCTGCCATCGGAGTGGTATCATCTGCGTATTGGAGGTTGGTGATATTTCTTCTGGCAATCTTAATTCTGGTTTGGGATTCATCCTGTCCAGCCCTTCACATGATGTCTTCTGCATATAAGTTAAATAAGCAGGAAAACAATGTACAGCCTTGTTGTACTCCTTTTCCAATTTGAACCAATCAGTTGTTCCATATCCACTTCTAATTGTTGCTTCCTGTCCCACATATAGATTTCTCAGGGGATAGATAAGGTGGTCATGCACTCTCATTTATTTAAGAACTTCCCATAGTTTGCTGTGGTCCACACAGTTAAAGGCTTTTGTGTACTCAATGAAGTAGAAGCAGATGTTTCTCTGGAAATCTCTGGCTTTCTCCATAATCCACCGCATGTTAGCAATTTGGTCTCGAGTTCCTCGGCCCCTTCAAAATCCAGCTTGTACTTCTGGGAGTTCTCGTTCCACTAAGGCCTACCTTGTAGGATTTTGAGCATAACCTTGCTAGTGTGTGAACTTGGTGCAATTGTACGGTAGATGGAGCATTCTTTGACACTGCCCTTCATTGGGATTAGGATGTAGACTGATCTTTACCAGTCCTCTGGCCACTGTTGAGTTTTCCATACTTGCTGGCATATTAAGTGTAACACCTTAACATCTTAGCATCTTTTAAGATTTTAAATAGTTCAACTGGCATGTCATCACCTCCACTGGCCTTGTTGTTAGCCGTGCTATCTAAAGCCCACTTGACTTCACTCTCCAGAATGTCTGACTCAGGGTCAGCAACCACACCTTCTGGGTTGTCTGGGACATCCAGATCTTTCTGGTATAATTCCTCTGTGTATTCTTGCCACCTCTTCTTGATGTCTTCTGCTTCTTCGAGGTCCCTCCCATTTTTGTCCTTTATTATGTCTGTCTTTGCAAAAATGGTTCCTTTAACATCTCCAATTTTCTTGAACAGATCCCCTTTCTATTATTTTCCTCCATTTCTTTGCACTGTTTGTTTAAGAAGACCCTCTTGTCTCTCCTTGCTATTCTTTGGAAGTCTGCATTCAATTTTCTGTAACTTTCCCTATCTTCCTTGCATTTTGTTTCCCTTTTCCTCTCTGCTATTTCTAAGGCCTTGTTAGACAACCACTTTGCTTTCTTGCATTTCCTTTTCTTTGGGATGGTTTTTGTTGCTGCCTCCTGTACAATGTTATGAGCCTCCATCCATAGTTCTTCAGGCACTCTGTCCACCAAAATGAGTTCCTTAAATCTGTTCTTCACTTCCACTGTGTATTCATAAGGGATTTGCTTTAGATTATACCTGACTAGCCCAGTGGTTTTTCCTACTCTCTTCAGTTTAAGCTTGAACTTTGGAATAAGAAACTGATGATCAGAGCCACAATCAGCTCCAGGTCTGGTTTTTGCTGACTGTATAGAGCTTCTTCGTCTTTGGATGGAGAGAACATAATCAATTTGATTGCCCATCTGGTGATGTTCATATGTAAAGTCGCCTCTTGTGTTGTTGGAAAAGAGTGTTTGTGATGACCAGCTTGTTCTTTTGACAAAACTCTATTAGCATTTGCCCTGCTTTGTTTTGAACTCCAAGGCCAAACTTACCTGTTCTTCATTTTATCTCTTGCTTCCCTACTTTAGCATTCCAGTGTCCTATGATGAGAAGAACATCTTTCTTTGGTGTCAGTTCTAGAAGGTGTTGTAAGTCTTCATAGAATTGGTCAATTTCAGCTTCTTAAGCATCAGTGGTTGGTGCATAAACTTGGATTACTGTGATGTTGAAAGGTCTGCCTTGGGTTCATATTGGAATCCTTTTATCACTTTTGAGATTGTATCCCAGTACAGCTTTTCCCACTCTTTTGTTGACTATGAGGGCTACTCCATTTCTTCTACGGGATTCATGCCCACAATAGTAGATATGAGAATTGTCAGAATTGAGTTTGCCCATTCCCATCCATTTTAGTTCACTGACGCCCAGGATGTCAATGTATATTCTTGCCATCTCCTGTTTCACCACATCCAGCTTACCAAGGTTCATAGATCTTACATACCAGGTTCCTATGCAGTATTTTTCTTTTGAGTATCAGACTTTCCTTTCACAACCAGGCATGTCTGCAGCTGAGCATCCTTTTGACTTTGACCCAACCACTTTATTAGTTCTAGAGCTACTTGTACTTGTCCTCCACTCTTTAGTAGCATGTTGGACACCTTCCAACCTGAGGGGCTCATATCTTTTAGCCTTTTGTTTCTGTCCATGGAGTTTCTTGGCAAAGATACTGGAGTGGCTTGCCAGTTCCTGCTCCAAGTGGATTGCGTTTAGTCAGAACTCTGTCCCTGCATGGCATAGCCCATACCTTCTCTGAATTACTCAAGCCCTTTTACCACATCAAGGCAGCAATCTATGAAGTGGTCCAATTACATACCTAATTTTAATTTAGATAAAATAAATATATAAAAAGTAATTTTACTATAAACTGAATTAAATAACAGTTAAACAATAAAAAAGTTAATTTGAAATTAAAATAAGGGGTAGAGGGTTTAGTACAAAATAATAATTTACCTGGATAATAACTAATGAAGCATTGCTGTTTATAAGAAGTTGAGCAGCATCAACAGCACTGATCACATTTTTTACTTTTCCCTTTATGAGGAGGAAAAAAACCAAGGTGTAAGTGGGGTTAGAAAGAAGACAACCATGCAGTTAAGCCACAATAGTTCTCCAATTGTTATGATATGGTTCAAACACAGATTTCACAAACAAAAAGATACACATATGTCAGGGATACTTATTTTACATATATGTCCATAATTTTATAATGACACTTTGGTCAGTTTTCAGCAGATAATGTAAGCCAAAGTAACCATGACTCAGGAGACCATGGTTTGGAACATCAAAATAAAAATTATATTCAGTTACTTCCTTTCCCAGCAGACTGAATTATCTTTCTGGTCTGAACTAGCTCTTCATTGCATTCACACAAAGCAGCAAACTGTGGTTTTATAAAATGAGGAAACAATTTATTTGACAGCACACACAAGGCGAAAAAGGAGGATTAAAACAGAAGTACAGTGGTGCCCCGCATAGCGAGGTTAATCCGTTCCGGATTAACCCTCGCTATGAGGAAACATCGCTAAACGGGATGCAAAATGCCATTGGAACGCATTAAACTACTCATGTAGCCAACCAGAATGTCAAACAGAAAGCTAAGTTATTGTCCTTCTCCATGACAAACTAATTTTCTATGGGGAGGTAATTTTTAATTGGAGGAGCTTTAATCATGTGAACCTTATATACAGACCAAAGTAGTATAGCTCAGATAACAGCTTAGAGTATTCAAGACCTTATTTACATTCAGGGCAAAAGTATATTTACTAAAGCTTTTATCACGCAGGCAGGTGTGTCAGGGAACCATCATGCAAATAGATTGAATAAGTTGGATCCTTTTGTTCTCTGTTGCTCATACAGTCAGGAATAGCCATGGAAGAAGGCAAAAGAACTACAAAACACTTCCCTTTGCCACTTAGAATGGCAAACATTTTCCTACCATTCCCTAGAGAAGCTTTGCACTGGCCAGAAGACTGTGTGCAGAGTTCCCCAGTTTTGTGCAGCATTTCCCTTTTTTGTACAAAACTGCTCAATGCAGTTTTGTACAAAAAACTGCATTCTTCCTTATAGAGTCTGAGCAAAAGTTCATGTACTTCTAGAGGGGAAGGACATTACAGAGATATTTTGCAAAACTAAGACCTTGAAAAGGGAGGAAAGGTGCTCTTTGTTTTGCTCTTAACTAACAGTGAGGAAGCTTGCATATTTTTAAATCTATGGAGCAGAATTCCTCAGTGTGTTGAGACAGTCTACATTAATGAGGACAAGGACTTTATCAATATTATCAATATTATTTTTTTCCATATTCCTTTTCCATATTCGTTTTCCATATTAGTTCACTAGGATGCAACGGGAAATCCAAATGGGGAAAGAAGGACTATGACTTTGCTGTTTTTATTATGGCAAGAAAAATCCTCACGTGCTCATGGAAAGGTACTAATATTATATTGAGATAAGATGTGTCACTTGGACTGTCCAACCATTAAAACAAACCAGCATCCCATTTCAGTCCAGCAGTGTGATATATGTGTTATGTGGCTTCACTTTCTGATAGCTGGATGAAAGTGTTGAGAAATTAATTGTATAGAAAGAAAGAAATCATATAGGAGACAAAATAATCCTGTATACTTTATTTTATTGATTAATAATTAAAATATTTATAGTTTGCTCTATATCAGAAGGTTTCAGAGCAAGAAACAATAAGTTAAATCTGTTTTAGGCAATTTAAAAGAATATGAAATGGTTTTTAAAAAAATCAAAATAGTCCTATTCTGTATGATGTACTGCTCTCAATGAACACAGAGGATGTGCCCCAGCTTACATTGATCAGACAAGTATGTACAGTATAGGGAAGATGTTCCCTCAAGAATAGAAGTCCCAAGCTCTTCAGAGTCACAATTACTGGTTTTGGTGCCTAACCTTTCACTGGTCACATGGGACTGACATAAATTTGGAAAGGAAGGAGGAATGGAAAGGAGTTTATGACATCCATACTGATTCTGTGCTGTGCCATCCATTTTATGTTTCCTTCTCATAAGGCAGTAGGTGTTGGGAGGCAGCACATGTGCTCAGTGAATTGGTTTATGGCTTTGCAGCAGCAAATTTATCACCCACAAAACGTCAGTGGGAAAACAACATGAAAACACAAAGGAGAATACTAATTAAGATATTTTGCTACCTAAATCCTACATGAAAGGCACAATGAAGGATTCTTGTGCTCAGTTACAGTTACAGCTTCATGACTTACATTAACTGTACTTTAACTATCAACCAGACAATTTCATTACCTCTGAATTTTCTGTAAAACAATATACTTCCAAGTGTTTCACAGTAACAGGATCTATGTTCTGAAGGAATCATGCTCAATATCCCTTTCCATCTCACCACTTCACAGTTTGACTGAATTACCATGTCCAGGGGAAAAACCCTCCAAAAATTCAGGAATCCCGAGATTCCCAAAGATTTCCATAAGTAGATTATCTTACTCTATTCCCTAGCTCTTTAAAGAAGGTCAGCTAATGAAGATCAAGGCAAACTTCTTGAGGAAAAGATCTATCCAGGATCATGGGATCACTGATCCCACCCCCCAAAAGCAAAACAAACAAACAAACAAAACCACATTTCTGTGGATGATCTGCATATGCATCAGGCCATAAGGGATCAAGAGAGCTCCATGGTTATCATGGTGGCCATGAAGTCCAGAATAGATTTAGCAGAATGCCTTTTCATTTTGAATGTATAAAGCTGATTAGAGAGAGTCTCAAGCAGTCAAGTATTTAACATGAATCCACAAAAGTAACCTTACCGGAAGTTCTGATGAAGTTTTCTGCAGTAATCTTATGCTCTGGTTTAAAGTACTCTGGTTAAAAACAAATAAATAAAAGAGCAAAATATCACAATTCTCTTAAAACATATTCAACAGGTATCTATGAAATGCTTAAGCCACAGTTCCAAGATATTAATGAAATAAAGACAAATACTGTAGACAACTGTGGAAATAATGAATCAGAGATCCCTGTGATTTGGCTAACTTGTATGCATTGTCCCACAATAATCGGTGCATAACCCTATAAAACATGTCTGGGAGATTCCTAAGTTTTCAGTGTAAAATCTTAATGATGCACCAAAATTTAGCCCGTGGAAACTGTAATCATCTTAAAAAGTTCAGAAAGCATTCTGCTTTCCCCCCATTCCTCACAAAAAATTGCAGATCCTG